GCAAAGATGAGTTTGTCCTATTTCGGCCCGTGGTCTTGGAACGATCTGCAGCTTAAGTTGAGGTTAGAGTCTTTTATTCCATTAGCTAGTTTTAAACAAAAATTGTCTGAGGTTTTAGTCAAATCTTGTACCTGTAATGTTTAACTGTTTTGTGATTTTCTTAACTTACATTGTATTTTATGTTTTATTGATGTATGTTTCTTTTACTTATATTTTATTTTTAATGCATTGATACTGTTTTTAAGACTGTTGCTATATGTGTATATAGCCCAGGACATCCTTGTAAAAGAGATTGATGATCTCAATGGATTTCTTCCTGGTAAAATAAAGGTTTAATAATTAATAAATTTCCTTTTTCCAGCGACTTATTGCTACTTGTCCCAACTTTTTTGGGATTTGTTGACACTGTGAAATTATTGCACTCTGACTGCTTCAGCATACCAAGACATTTTGGACAATTCCATGCTCCCAACTTTGTGGGAACAGTTTGGAGCTGGCCCCTTCCTCTTCCAACAGGACTGTGCACCAGTGCACAAAGCAAGATCCATAAAGACATGAATGGCAAAGTCTGATGTGGATGAACATGAATGGCCTGCACAGAGTCCTGACCTCAACCTGACAGAACACCTTTGGATGAATTAGAGCGGAGACTGCTTCTGGAAGAATGGTCAAAAAACCCCATAAACACACTCCTAAACCTTGTGGACAGCCTTCCGGGAAGAGTTGAAGCTGTTCTAGCTGCAAAGGGTGGATGAACGTCATATTGAACCCTATGGATTAGGAATGGGATGTCACTGAAGCTCATATGTGAGTCAAGGCAGGTGAGCGAATACTTTTGGCAATGCAGTGTATATATATAAATCCTGCTAATGAACTTTTAATGAACTTTAATTCAACACTAAATCTCTGATGAATGAGATTTTCCAAAAACATCTATATTTAAAATTTTTTTTTTTTTTTTCATCATTTTATGTATTTGCACTCATTGTGTCTACTTTTATTGGTCAATTTAGAAATGTGGTTTTGTTTCTTGTACAGGTCCTTCTCAAAAAATGAGCATATTGTGATAAAGGTCATTATTTTCCATAATGTAATGATAAAAATGAAACTTTAATATATTTCAGATTCATTGCACACCAACTGAAATATTTCAGGTCTTTAATTGTTTTAATACTGATGATTATGGCATACAGCTCATGAAAACCCAAAATGCCTGTCCCAAAAAAATAGCATATCATGAAAAGCTTCTCTAAACAAGCTATTAACCTAACCATCTGAATCAACGACGTAACTCTAAACACCTGCAAAAGATTCCTGAGGCTTTTAAAAACTCCCAGCCTTGTTCATTACTCAAAACCGCAATCATGGGTAAGACTGCCGACCTGACTGCTGTCCAGAAGGCCATCATTGACACCCTCAAGCAAGAGGGTAAGAGACAGAAAGAAATTGCTGAACGAATAGGCTGTTCCCAGAGTGCTGTATCAAGGCACCTCAGTGGGAAGTCTGTGGGAAGGGAAAAGTGTGGCAGAAAACGCTGCACAACGAGAAGAGGTGACCGGACCCTGAGGAGGATTGTAGAGAAGGGCCGATTCCAGACCTTGGGGGACCTGCGGAAGCAGTGGACTGAGTCTGGAGTAGAAACATCCAGAGCCACCGTGCACAGGCGTGTGCAGGATATGGGCTACAGGTGCCGCATTCCCCAGGTCAAGTCACTTTTGAACCAGAAACAGCGGCAGAAGCGCCTGACCTGGGCTACAGAGAAGCAGCACTGGACTGTTGCTCAGTGGTCCAAAGTACTTTTTTCGGATGAAAGCAAATTTTG